CCCCAAAACCCCAAAACCCCAAAACCCCAAAACCCCAAAACCCCACAGTGACCCATAGAAATTGGATTACTAGAAATTTAGTAGTCAATTACTTATTAAGAAATTATAGCTCGTTGTCATCTTCTCCTTCATCATCAATTTTGGCAACTCCATTAAAATTCTCCAAAACTTTCTGCTTAACCAAGCCAGGAATGGCGTTCTTCCTAAGTTCTTCTCTCTCCTGCGCCTCCTTCATCGCAGCTTGTTTCTCTAGTTCGTACAGGGAGTCTTGGTCATTACCAGCGAATTCTTTCAGAGCGATCAGGAAGTCTCTCATCGTGCTCACAAATTCTTTCTTTTCGTTTCAGTTGTTGAACATGTTGAGGACAAAGGTCTGGATCTGTACCTTGTTAGTATTAGGGAAGAGCTTTACTAGAGCATCTGAAAGATACTCGATGACAAACTCTTTATTGTTAGACACCTCCTCCGAAAGAGTTCCTTCAAAGATATCATTTTCTACCACTGAAATAAGTCTCATAATTATCAAAGCTTGTTTGTAGAATCCTGATTTATGCAGGGAATCTGTTAAGACAAAGAACGTGTCTTGCATGATTGACATGTAAAAGTTCTGGAAGAACACATTAGCAATCTCCTGGTTTGAGACGACCTTCGTCAAAAGCTCACTCATTGTATCAAGGCCTATTTCTGCTAGTTGAATTTGGTAGTGTTTAATAGCCCAAATAATACTGTCAATGCATACTTTAAAGTTTTCTTCAGTGGCTCCGAATAATCCTTCGAGTGAGTAATTGACAATATTCTTGATAAGCCCAAAGAAGTTCTTCCTAAAGTCCATAAATGTAGTGTAGTCATTGTTAATCATGGTCAGAGTAGACTCAAATAAGTAGTTCAAAATATCAGGAATATACTCTGACATTTTATCTCCCATCTTCTCGATCAAGGTTGAGAACAAGGAAAGGACCTCTGGGTCCCTGGCATTTGGAACATTCTGGTTATAGTCAGTGATTAGTTCACTCAGAATTGGTAAGAATTCAGTGACTATTAATTCAGGATCTTCATTACTTTTAATGAAAGTAGCAATGAGATTCAAAATTTCCCTTCTCACTGTCTTTGTTGCTCTCAAGATACTGTTATTATATGAGCCAGGTCCGTTAGAAATAGCTGAAGAGATATTCTCTGAGTATAGCTTATACACCTGCATGAGTTCCTGGAAAATTTTAGCTAAATGTGTCACATAAGATGAGCCTAAAGCAAAAGCAACTCTTTCATTAGCCTTGATAATAAACCCGATTGTCCTAATAGTATCAATAGATTGAAGACTTGAAGGATCATTGTTTGCAGTATCTAGCACATATTGCCACTCATTTTGTGTATATTGCATCAACTGCTCGAGTAAAATACTTCTACTTCCCTCATCTTTTTCTTCAGAAATCATGTGCCCAAGTCCCTCATAAATATGCAACGACTGTTTGACTTCCAAATCTTTAGTGTTTTCTGGCAAATTTCGAATAAGCTCTCAGATATAAGGTTCCTCATTTCCTTGCTTGATAACAAACATTCTTTTAGTCTTCTTAGAAATCTTGAGGAATACTTCAGTAGCCATATCTTGGACTCCAGGATGTTTTTCCGCCATAAATTCGTTTAACTTTTTGATTACAGTTTTGAGGAATGCCCAATGTGTGCATAAGAACCTTGGGAATTGACCAACAACATACATAATATCAGCTGCAACAAGTGCTTTGTTGTCTTTACCTTTCTTCTTGTCGACCAGATTTAGCAGCTCTTTGATGACAGTGACTACGAACTTGTTTTCCTCTTCTTCCATCATTCACTCGCTGATAGACCCAAGAGCCCAGCAGATCTTGTTCAGAGCATCAAATGAGAAATTAGCTTCATTGGCTAACAAATTGTCTAATGAGGAAGTGATAATTGTGTACACCTTCTTGCTATCGATATTAGTAAGGAAGACCAGATTCTCCCTCATCGTGTCATAAAGACTAACAGTCTCTGTATCTGTGATGAGTTCCTCTACAGGGTTTCCGTTCTCATCAATGACCACGAGAACTTCTTCAGGCTTAGCCATGGTTCTGATCATGGTGATACATAATTTCTCTAAGTAGTTTGGAATAATGTCTTGTCTCAATGTTGGGTTAACCACTAGCTTATTATTTTGTAGATTTATCAAAGTAGTATCCCCAGTTTTGGAAAACATATCCCTTCCTTTTGTGGCTACTAGGATGTAATAAGTAAATTTGTGCCAAAACTCCATCATTGTTTTGAACAATTCACTGAGTTCGATGTTTGACAGCTGTATCAGGTAATCTAGACCCTTTCCAACAGCTCCAGCCAGGTTCTCAGAGAACTCACTTGGCACTTCATTGAAAGATGTTAACTGCTCAATTTTCTCAATTTGATTATTGATGAATTCTGATAAGAACAACCCTGTCTGGAGGCAGAAGATTTCAAAATATGGCCTTTGTCCCTCAGAAATTCTAGAGTATTCCTCAGTCAAGTTCCTATCCTTAGTAACCTCTACTGTTTTAGACACGAAGGTGATAAAGAGTAAAAACTGTTTCTCAGTATATTCATCACACTTGGGATCGTCTGGGCTGATCTTTAAACTTGCTACTTCCACTAAACAAGGGAGTGTATCATTTCTAAACGAAGGCACGACATAGAAATTATTGATTAGCTTTTCCAGAATATCTGTCTCGAAGATATAGCCAAAAGGAATCCAGCTCATGAAAGAGGCAAAAGTCTTGAGACAACTTTTCACTAAATCTTTCTTCACGCTGCCTGAGTTCTCAATTGAAGTGTTCAAGACGAATACTCAGAGATCATAGATGGATGCAAACTGGACAGTCATGGTTTCTTTTAACTCATTCGCTTTCTTTGATGAAATCTGATTCTTACTAAAGTCAAAAATTTCTTCGCTCAACAATTTCAAAATATTCATTGTGTTTTCACACAGCCCCTGGTCAGTTTTGGAAGCCTCACAAATTTCGCTGATAAAGTCTTTCCAGGTTGTTGTCCACTCATGCTTGACTATTGAGACGAGGGTCTGGTTAAGTTTGGTGAGCAAAGGACCACCAGTCGTGTTTGAGACCTCACTCTTCCCCAAACTAATCACAAGGTTTGTGATATACTCCTTAATGCCTGACTTCTGATCCTCAGGTAAGATCTTCCACTTGTTCGATACGGTATTATCTAGCACACTCAATGCGATGAACTTGGCGTTGTTGCTATTGGAATTCTCCAGAATAATATCTACAAATTGCCATGCGTTCTCGTTCTGCTGGAATTTGGTCAGGATTTCATTAGCCTGAGCCATATATGTAGGGTTCTGAGAATAAAGAGCACTAACTATCTCATCTAGCAAGGCTACCTTATTCTGATCGAATGGGATAGCATCGTTCAGCAGGTCCTCAGGGTTTAAACTATTGGACATTTCCATTTATGATTATTTAATTTTATAAATCTGGCAATAACTTGGGGAATGGACGGGGTTTTGGGGTTTTGGGGTTTTGGGGTTTTGGGGTTTTGGGGTTTTGGGG